AATAACCATTTGGTACATATTTTTATTTCATCTAATTTGAAAAAGATAGTCTATTGGCCACAATTAGGAGCAGAAAAGAAGGAGAGTTACACCTTTTCATATTAAAGACCTGACTCTTCAAAAGTGGTAGGGGAGTATATTCTTACCCGACAACATTCTGGTGTGAGTGGCCTTCATTCAGTGTTCACAAATGGCTCTTGTGAAAATAATACTCTAGAATATAGGCACACTTAGAATCCTAAGTATTTTTAGTCAGGTATGTTTTTTGCTGCGTAATGCTAGGAATTAACTTAAATATATTATGGGTTAGTTTTAATCAAGGACTTCATGACCAATTCTCTGCATCTTATGTTGGAGTCAATATTGGTGCCAGAAACCTTCACAAACATTTTATCTATCTTGAAACTCTGATGTTCAAGTTAGAAGATGCTTCCCTTCCTGACTGATATCCACGTGTACAGCCTTGGTTTGTCTTTCAGGGATGAGATTCCTTTTCATGTGGCTTCTTTCCTAGGACAGTTACTTGTGAAAGTGAATACTAACATGACGGGATTTATCAATACTTTATGTACAAAGATTTATGTTATGAATGTCAAATTTGATCATTTCAGACACTGAAAACCAACATATATCAGCTTTAATATGAAAGAAAGACAGAGGCTCATTTCTGGGTGACACATACTTTCTGTTAAAGGTGTTAATTTCTCTGGAACCTGTCCTGATTTCTAAGGGGAGAAGGGGTCCTCTCAATTTTGCTTATGTCAGTGCATGTTGCTTTTCATCATCATTACCATGGTTATAGAAATAGCTATGAACTTATGACCTAAAACCATGATGATTGAATCTCTTTTGTTGCTGAATCCTAAATTACCATGATAGATGCAATTTTAAAAGCATCTGAAAGAAACAGAGAAAATTTGCTTAAAATTTTGAAGTATTGGTTTTAAAAGGAAATTGAGATTATTTAGTTTTCTTTTTCTTTTTGTGTTATTGCTAAAGACCCAATGCAAAGAAATAAACAGATTATAATAAAGAAAAGTAATTTAGACATTTTGAAGAAATTTTTTTATATGAAGATTATATAACAAGAAAGAAAGGAAAGTATAGTTTACCAGAATAAGCCCTTATTTTCAAAAATGACTTGTTTCCTTTTAGCACCATGGTCCTATCTATAACATTTAAAAAGAGGATAGCATGGATAAAGAAAATATCCTTAGCTTTGACCATATATTTTAAAGGCTTGCTTCCTTCTCAAATCCTAACAAGTAGGAAACAGTATGTGTTTATTTTCTCAATCCCTTTGCTTCCCTTGAATAGCCTGCAGGGGTGGTCCATGCTAAAAGTAAAATTACGAAAAGACTGTCAACAGAAGGTAATGAGTAGCTACCCTTAATAATTAGTTCTTTGTGTAATTATATATTATTAAAACCTTTCTTGAGAAAATTAAAAATACTTTGAGGTAGTAAAATTACATGCTGAATGAAATCAAGAACTTTAAAGTGTGAGAGAATATAAAAATAGCATGTGTTTAACCTTGTGCAGATATAAAATAATGATGATACCGAACCATTGGTTATGATCGAGAGTTGCCTGGGAGCTGTTGTAGACAATGGCCTACCATGTCTTCATAGGCAGTGTCAGTAATTATGGCCTGAAAGACTGGCGGGCAAAAACACTGATAAAGTGCTAGTTTTCTTCAAAACAGTGTGGAGAAAACACGCTGTCATGCTGCAGTTGTAATGGAGCGATAGTACCGTAATTACCGTGATGTCCAATCTTGGGAGTACAGAAAAGAACAGCAAATGCCTCTGTTTTTCTGTCTAGAAAGCTACAGGTTGAGAAAGGGGACATGATTATAGAGTCATAAAGAGTTTGGTAAACCATATGTTTTTCACAAAACTTCACAATCTACCCTGACTAGTTTGGCTCAGTGGATAGAGCGAAGGCCTGTGGACTGAAGGGTCCCAGGTTCGATTCCGGTCAAGGGCATGTACCTGGGTTGCAGGCACATTTCCAGTAGGGGATGTGCAAGAGGCAGCTGATTGATGTTTTTCTCTCATCGATGTTTCTAACTCTCTATCCCTCTCCTTTCCTCTCTGTAAAAAATCAATAAAGTATATATTTTTAAAAAAAGCAAAAAAAACTTCACAATCTTATAACTAAAACATACATTATACTGTTTGAAAGAAATAATTTATAACCAATAAAGGAAGAATTAATTTATACAGAGTGTAGACATCTTAAAGAATTCTTTAATTCATGGAAGTTTATATGTTATTGCTTTATGATATGTAAATTATTGGTTAAGGGTGAGCTTAGTATGGAAATAAGGATGCAGTTCAATGAGATTCTTTGAGATTGTTATCACAAAGAATTTAATGCGGTTTTCCAAAACAGAAAGCTGGTTGGTATGGATCATGAATTTAACTGTTGTGATAATTCACATGTTACTGTATTTTCATTATTTCCATTGTTTCCTGTGAAACACTGTAGAACAAGCACCCTTTTTAAATCACCGAGGTCCCCTTGTTTAGGTGCATTAATACCTATTACAGATTTTAGTGCCATGTTGATTCAAATATTAATTTCAATTTTAAGTAATGGTATTTATATACACTTAT